ATGTTAAGCCGTTTCATAGAATTGGAAAATGCGTTAAAAGCAACAGTTGCTATTCTCGATATTAATTTGCCCGCTTTATTACCAAATGATTAGAAAATTTGTAAGGAACTTTGTCTTATTTTAAAGCCATTTGAAGAAGTTACTAAAGCAGTAAGTGGAGAGAACTATATGAGTGCTTCTCTGGCAATTGTAATGGCTAATAGTCTAAAGGCAATAAGTGAAAAGATGTATATGAAAAATTATTATATTAATATTAAAAAAGTTATTTTAGAGTTAAAAAATGGACTAGACAAACGTTTCTCCAACTTAGAAAATAGTAACACTCTTACCAATTGTACATTTTTAGATCCCAGGTTTATACAGTTACCCATAAGTGAGAAAGTTGCCACCCGTACGAAAAATAGAACAATAAGTGCTACAGCAGACAAAGTTAAAATTAATAAAACAATACAAGATAATATGACAACAACTAGCTGCAATGAGGAGATAGAAAATGATGAGTTTAGTATTTGGAATAGTTTTGACATGATTAGATCAAATGTTACACCCCAAGGGATAAATACATCCAAAGGCATAATTGAGGTTAATAGATATTTAGAAGAAGATCTTTTGATTAGAACTGGTGATCCCTTGGCTTGGTGGAAAGAGCATGGGTACAACTACCCACATTTACGAATTTTGGCCCGAGAAAAGTGTTATACCATGCGAAAGAGTTTTTTCGAAGGCAGGATATGTGTTTAATGATCGCCGTAACCGCCTAAAACCAACTAAAGTCAACCAAATACTATTTTTCAACCATAATTATAAATTTTAAATATAATATTAATTAAAAAGAAAAGTTCTTTTTTTAAATTTAAATGTGTACATCTTGTACAAAGTATATAAGAGTAATAAAGATAATTAAATATAATATATTTTAACATAAGTAAAAAACATTACAAAAGTTTAAACTACAGAATAAAATTTCAATTTCTAACATCCATATTTTAATTGTTTTACAACAAATGTAAAATTAAGTGATTACAGATATTTACTATTTTTTAGTTTATCACGGTGATAGTGATAATATTATCGTAGTAGTGGGGTCACCACTGGCAGTGTCGCCACAAGTTTTGAATTTTTTTTTGTAAATATATATTTTACTACTTTAATCACCGGTCACCATATATTTTACCCAAGTGTCGCCGTGACAAAGTCGCAGCGACGAGTTTACTTACTCTACTCTACCTGCTAGTTCAATAGCAAAAACAAAATTGAAAATAAATATCATTAAACAAGAAATTAAAGAATGTACAATCACTATATATAACTAAAGTACTCTGGCAAAGCTTTTTATTTATTTATCATTATAATTGTTTTTTTTTGATACGACCAGGTGAAGTTCGAGAGGTGTCAACTGTCCACCAAAACATATTTGTAGTTTTCTCGGGTTTCTATTTAAAGGTCCCTAGCCTCTTGTTTTTGTTATTTTTATTATTTGTTTTAAAACGAATTTTACAAAATAAATACCAATCGCATTCGATTTCGGGTCACTAGATATTAAAAAAAAAAAATGTGTTATATGCAAAATTTCTTATTTTATACACACGTTCGCTGTCAATACTTATTTTACAATACGTCACTGACAAGTAAAGATCAAAATTAATTGAACTTATAAGAGGTCATACTGCGTTGTACGACTTGAGCGATGCAAAATATAGTGTCCTCTAGAATGTGTACTGATAAGAATTTTTAATTGAAACGTATTAGCATGGTAAACGTTAGATTTTTTATACGTTTTTTTGTTTTGTTTTAACGAATGTATTTGCCAATATTTTAAATATTTTTTCCTAAAATAATTTTTTTGAAGTTTAAAAAATGATGTATTAATCGTTTTAAAAACATTTTACTAATATTTTTTCGTGATCAATAAGTATCTACACTAGCATATTACCATGAGCGCAGTTAGAGTGGGGCTTAGGGGGTATTCGCACTCCGAATATTTTTCGTGTTTATGTATTAAAATCAGAAGTTTTTGCAGAGTTGATTACAGTATTTATTATTCAGTATTATTTATCAATTACATGTGGTTCTCACACATTCCATTTCTTCTGCATCTTTTGAATGTTCGTTTTCTGCTTTAAGAAAAATAAAGATTTGGCTTAGGGTTTGTCCATTAAGTCTGCCCAGACTATATAAAAAAAAGTAAATGACAAATTTGATTAATAAATTACTTAAACTACATTATTGCATTACCACATTTGCAGAATAAGCAAATTGTATAACTCTTGTATAAAATACTTGTTAATTGTAATGCTATATTATTTTTTGTTATAAAAATAAATTTCTAATAAACTTAAGTCTTTGCGGAGCACCCAACTGTTATTAAAAATATCTACTTGAAATTAATTCTATATTTTAAACGTTCTACAGAAATTCTGTATGATCGGGTAAACGCATTACCTCTCCCTTCAAAACTTCTCAAAGTAAACCATTTAAATATAAATTTTACTATTCATTATTGCTATCTAGAATATTTTCCTTGCACTAGAATTCCAATCGCTGGTTTGATTCACTGCAATGTGCATACTTTAACTTTAAATGGATCTGTTGGTTTTTTGTATGGCGTATAACGACAAATTGAGAAATTAGTATGAGTTGACTTACTTTTGATCAAGGTACGAAGTAGCCCTTAATGTTTCACTTTTTGTGTTTGTATTAAATACATAAGAAATAAATAACTATTTTTAAAAATATATAAAATATATACTTAGCTTCATTAAATTTGTAAAAAAATGTCCGTACTCTGTAATATACTATTACAAAAAAAATAATTATCTATAATTAGGCCAAGATATATTAATTCTTTAACATTTTCAAGTTTAACACATTTCGGACTAAATTTAGTATTCCAGTTAGGGATTACACTTTAGGTAATAAACTATTAAATGATTTCTATGTAATTCATTAGCGGCAGCCAGCATGTAGTTTAAAAGCATATAAATTTTGATTTTGGTCAGTTTAAATAATATTCTTTAGAACAAAGTTATTAACCGAAAAAATGCATAAGTTCTTGACAATACAGTTCTAAAACCAGTGTAAATTTTAGGTAGGTACCGTAAAATGGGGTGAATGGCAACACTTTTGAACTTTGAAGTGTAATTAAAACTGTTCTATTTGAGATACATAGTTCATCAATACGCCAAAATACTGGTCTCTGTGAGTATTTTAAGTATGTTTTATCAACATTTTTTCATATATCAAAAGAATATTTTATATATTTTTAATGTGCTCTGTTTCTATTCACCCGCAAAATGGTGTCAATAGAAACATTCATGGTTTTCTTATACATTTTTCTATTTTACAAACTGAATGATGAATAAAAACAATTTTTGATATTTAAAAAAAAAAAAAAGACAAAATTGTCAATGTAATAAAATGTTTTATTTAATTTTAACACTGGTATATAAACAAATTAATAAACATAACAATTGAGGCAAACTTAACACATTTAAAATACAGTTTTTAAATTTAATTTTGTCAGTCTAAGGGTTTCTTTCCCAGTTTTGGACGTGGTAATACAAATAGAACAAAAAATGTATTTTTAATCATAGTTCAAACGCTCAAGTTCAACTATGATTTCAACTAGATTTATGACTTAGGTTATACAAATAGATTAGGAATTTGATTTGCAATCATAGTTGAACTTGAACAGTCCTCTTCCGTTAAGAACAGGTTTTTCAAGTTTCCCTACAACTTGGGAAGTTTTGAACACACAAACATCTCTGACTTCTGGAAAACCATACACCATGCCTTTATGATCCCTGGTTGTTTTTGATCTTAAAAAAGTGCCTTCAAAAGTGGCTTTATCTATTTTTTTTATAATTTGGCCAATGTAGTACAAAAAGTTCATATTTTTACTCCCATTGTTTCTGTTTCTTTTCACCCCTAAAATGGCTTAAGTCATTAAAATTGACCTATTAAAATGTTTAAGTTATAACAGTAAATAATACTTACAATTAATTAAACTTAATAATATTTTAAATACTTTAAAAGTAAGAAAACAAAAAACTTTAACAAAACAACATCATAACGAGTAACTTAGATTTTAATAATAATATGATATGAAAATTATCACGAGTGCTTATCAATGTTTATCCGTATGGAGGTAAAAATAAATGCAACGTTTAGTATTACTCGAATTCTGTACTAATGTGAGTTCGATTTAATGAAGGTTTTAGATTGATAACTTGAAAACTCAACTGTGGGGACATCGAAGTAATAACTTTTCAGATTTTGTTTCTATTCACCCCTTTTTACGGTAGCCTTGTTTTGATACATTTTTCAAAAGTGTTTGATTAAGTTAATGATAGTGAGATCGGTCGATAGTTGCCACATGCAGCACTAGTCTTTACTCGTTAAACGTACAAGACGAAATTAAAAATGTCGAGAGTATTGAAAAATATGAACCATAAAGAATGGGAACAAACAATTTTTCAAAATATTAATATTTTTCGAGAAAACGAGTGCCTTGTACATCAGCGGTATTTGTCGTATACCTAACCAAATATATTATACCGATACATTTGTACCGTAGGACCATCCCTAGCCTTCGACCCTTGTACATCTATACATTTTATAAATTCTATGTAAACTGTGTGACGGCGACTTGCACCGCACCTTTCGACATTTTTTTACGTGCCTAGGTATAATAAATAATAGTATAGCATTATACTGTATACGGTACATATACTATAATAATGCTGTTGTCATTGTAAGAGTAAGACCCTTGGTCGTTTTATCAGTGTTCACATGTACCTACCACCTGCCGACGCCGGTTGTGTTTGGTTGGCAGGTAATAACGCGTAGAACGGGGCCCGGCCGTCGCGCCGATAACCATGTATAATACAACCATAGTAACCATGATATGACGCGGTGGGGAGAGCCACGACGTTCGTAGCGCTGTACAGCCGCCTGCTTTCCACATGTCGCTATCGGCGTACGCCCCGCACCGCCGTCCGGCGCCTTCAATTTACATTTGTCATTCGGGCTTGTAGTACGTCGACGGCGGTTTATAAATATTGTTACTGTTAATGAAAAATACTAACACCTATGTCTTGTCCGGTTCGAGTTAATTAAACATTTTAACAATTTACTATTTAACGCGACCATGCCGCTAGAATTATTGTTCAGTCACATTGCCGTTTTGCCGTCAACGCCATACGTCTCGTCGGTGAGTACCAGTAGTTGTTACAAAGTTATTTTATACAAACCAAAAAAAAAAAAAAATGACATGCGATTCGGAAGCGTCTGATTAGTACTTAAGTTTTTCCCACTTGATTAGATTTCAAAATGACATAATATCGTCACTAGGTAATACTGTGTTTTTTTTTAATAATTCGTAGATAATGTGTTACCATTTATGATCCATGTCGTTTAATCGATGGCCTTGATTTGAGTATTGTCTTAACATAAAATAAATGACATCTGTTATTTGTAAATTGAGTTCCTTCAACTTTCATATTTTCCCATTCACGTGTTAGTTTTCTAAACACTGTGCTCGCCTAGCAATATATAAAGAATTAGTAGGTTCTATTATATATAATAATATATATATATATATATGTGTGTATCTGTAGATTGTTAGATTGGGCCCAACTGATTGTTTTTTCATCTAAATCCGCATTACATATGACCAAATTTATATCTGTATCAAAAAATTTGTTTAATTGATACATAAGTTGTTTAATTTTGGTCAATCCATAAATCATTATATATTTTATATATGTATAATGATATAACAATAATATATCATGGTTATTATTCTTACTATATACTATTACTAATTTCATATACTATAATCTTTAATACTAAACATAGTTTCTTACTGTTTTACTGTAAACTGGTAAATTACTGAGAGTATGAAAATCATTACAATTACTGATATTGTTTTTTGGATCATGTGTGTCAGTAGTGGCTGGTATTGTACAGTCAAAAAAAATATGAGTGTCTTCAAATACCTAGAATTAATATTACAATAACTCGCATAATAAATAGATAATTAATAAGAGGCTAATTGACAATAAACACTATTCGTACCCCCATTCATGGGAATTAGTTTGATATGCTGTGGTGTTACCTTTTATGATCCATGTCGTTTAATCGATAGCCATAAGATTTGAGTATTGTTTTAACATATATTAAATGGCATCTGTTATTTATGAATAAAATCCGTGTAAACTGTCACATTGTGTGATTGTAGATGACGGAATGTGGACTGTGTTGAGAATCCAATGATTGTTTAACAAAAGTGTCGGCAAAAACAAATTATGTTAACAAAAATCCTTTATCCTTTACGTTAAAATGTGTTTGTGTAAAGGGTGTTGAAGGTTATGTACATAACAATATGAACTGTAGATAACATAAGGACATCTCTTATCTTTATCTTTACCTTTGCACTTACAAGCTTAAATGTTAGACCTTTTAGTAATTACTAATTTACATTCTCCTCTTCTTAATTTTTTATTTAAATTTAGTATACCAGGATAATTTGGATACAAATAAGAAAAAATAAAAAATGTATCCTTTTTTAAATAAAATATATGATTAAATAAAGAAAATTACCTAGACGTTCTGTCACCTTGTGTAATTAATAATTTACTGTAAGTACTGTTTCCACTAGTACACCACAAAACATGAAAAATAAAATATAGTTATACAAAGAGGACTTACAGAAATACAATTTATTTTAAACTAATAATATACTTCTTTCTTTTTGACGAGCAAACTGGTTTCAAACTTGTTCAGTATTAACCGTAATATCTCTATGGACACTTGTTAAAATAATTTAAGAGGAACACAAAAGAAATAATAAAAACAATTGAAGTAATAATACAGTTAGTATTGTATTTAAGTTATAACAGTTAAACTAATAATAATAAAAATTATAAGTAAAATACATCATAGAAAAATGCATACATCTATAGATACAAGCATAATGACGATATACTAGCTGTATAACGAGTGTATCGCTTTGTCCACGTACAAACGTATTTATATCCTATACCTAGGTCAAGTCAATATCTATAAAATAATTTTCTAAGATTTCACATACATAAGTGACATACTAAATTAGACATATTACACTGGCTTAGAATATTAATTATATTTCAACAAAACTTAATAGAGCTAGGCTGTCCTGTAAAATTCCATAAAAATGTCTTGACCCGTTTTAATGTAGAAAAAGTTTGTTCGAAAGTCGCTGTAGAAACTGGCAGTGTTGATAGTACTTTTAATAAAATATCAATATTTAGAAAAAGTTCACAATTTCAATATATGATTCAATTTCTAATTTACCCAATGCTAATTAGGTATTCATGCCGATAATTACAGACTCACTAAACACCTAGGCGGCCAAATATACTCTATTTTTTTCAAATGGCCCAGGATGTATGTGAGTAAGCTTAGGAGCCAATCTTATTTTAAGTTGACTCTCTTCATTATAAAATTGTTCGAGGTAGATACTGTCAGTAATTTCATCACGAATTTTTAAATAATGTTTGAAAAACATATTTCTTGTTGATTTTATCAAGTGTAGAGGATCAAATATATACATAATTTTATTGCTATCAACTATAAAATAAGTAAAAAATATCAAAATTTTAAACTGATAGTACTAAATAATTTTTCTTGAGTACCTAATGTATTTGAGTAAAAAATATTTAATACATATATAAGTATAAATTAACTATAATTTCTTTGACTAAAGGAAATGGAAAAAAGTATATTATATAACATAGTTGATGTTTTAAACTAAGTAACCAAAATGTAAATTATTAGTTTAAATTTTAGCAGAGTTTGTAAATGAAGTTGTTCGATAATTATAATCAGAAGTACCTAATCATATATATTGTATTCTATTAATTATCTCGATCAGTTAGAAATATCATTTGATATTTCTATTGTTTAATGCAAAAAATAAGAAAATGAATTGTACTTAAGTTAGAATTATAATTTGAATTAGTTTGAAATTAATGTTTGTTTTTCTTAACTGTGTTTTAAAAACTGAACATTATTTTTAGTCATTTAATATAGTACAACTAAAAACAAATAACGACTGTTAATTATAATAATAGTCAACAATTCATGCTGCTAGATAATTCTCATTAAAAAAAAAAAACTACCATAACGTAGCACATAATTTAATCTCCATATGTTTGGAATGTATGCTCAGAAAATAACATGAATTGTTGTCAATGATAACAAAAAGTGGGCAGTATTTTGGCAATATGGACATAACGCCACGTGAAGAGTACGCACTTTTTAAATATTTTGCATGTCGATTTGGCTACGACTAAAATTAGGCGGACAGTATTTTGGTAATATAGACATATTGTCATATCAAAAATACACGCTTTAAAAAATTGCCTTTGACTATGACAACATTGTCAACAACAGAATAATCAAAACTTTTGTTTTGTTACTGTTACGTTATGGGTATGATATAATGTCATGTATACAACTTCTGAAACTATGAAATTGAGAAATGGTTAAAAAAAAATCTTTATAATATAATGTTATATATATTTATTAAAGACAGTAACAAAGTTCAATATCAAATTTCATTTTGGTGTAACTAAGAGTTTATTGAGTGATAAAAGAAATATATATATATATATATATTAGCGGCATTACAGTAATTGTAGTAGTTTGTTATAAAACATATAGTTCAGTTTCAAATATCAACTAAGTACAATACTATAATGATAACAAATTAAAAAACAAATTATTGAAAATAAGGTTTTTATATTATCGACAACTTCATTTAGAAAATAATTAACACATAAGAATACAAATTCTAGGTTTATAGGTTTTGTGTTTAAAGCATTGACTTTTATTTTATATATTTTTTTTTACCTACAGGCATAATCATAACCACACAAATATTATATATTATTGTGTACATGGATATGTTTATATAATTAAATACCTCTATTCACAATTATCAAAACAATTATCTATAATTTAACAATAATACAAATAAGGAAAAAAATTAAATTACCAATTAACAATAATACAAGAATAGTAATAAAAAGAGAATAAGATTGAACATGATTTGGTTTTATATAAGTAGTTTTCAGATTAATTAAATCATGCAAATTTTGTATTGTTATATAATCAGAAATAATTGTGATAGGAAAATTGGATAAGGAATTATCTGTGTGTGTTAACATATCTGTAATAGGAATTACATCGGTATAATAATCATGAAATAAGGGAGTAGGAAGTAGGATATTGTTATGTCCATAAGCTGTACAAGACTCATTGAGAGTTAAAAGTCCTACACCCTCAATAGTAGCTGTAATTCTTTCTGTCACGTTTTCACACGTAATGGGAAGGAAATCCAATGGTGTAACGAACAGCCATTGATTTTTTGAATGCAATTTGTGAAAAATAGAATAGGATAGATTCAGATATTGGATATGGCAATTATTAGGAAAAACTCTTGTTGGATTCTAAAATAGTGTTATTTCACATGTAGGTTTTAAATTAGTTGGATGAAGAGTTTGAATTTCAGGACATAAAAGAAAAGATTTGGAAGTCTTACATTTAAATAAATCTAAATCAGAATAACTGGTATAGTATTCATATGATCGACTAATTGCTAAATAAGTAGAAGATGGTTTTTGACATAAACATACATTTTGTTATTATATAATTTAACTGGTTTAGCCAAAACAGAATACAAAGTGTGTTTGGTAAACTAAAGGTAATTTCATTAATAATACAATCAAAATACAATACAATTGTTTGAAAAAATGCTTATGTCTGACAATTACACTAGTTCACCTAAGTCCTGATCATTAATATCAACTGGTAAGTCTGTTCCTGGTGGAAGAGAGACTAATATCTTTTAGATTAATGATTAAGTCCTGTTTATTTAATACATACGGATGTATGTGCCCTGTTGTAGCGTAGTGTACTACATCTGCTAAAATAGTTGTATTATGCATGTATGCATTTAGAATTAATTTGACATGTGTATTATGATTTCCCATAATATTTGAAAATGTGTCTTCAGATGTACCCGATATATTTGCAATAGAGGTTGTTAAGAAAGATAGAGAATCGTTAAGAAAAGTTTGTTCTTTTTGTAGTAATTTAATAACTTTAGTCTGTCTATTAACCAGTTTTAATGTATTTAAATTTTGACTTTCTAGAGTAGAGATATAC